TAATGAATGTGATTTCATCTACCGTCTTTGAAAAAATTTAGCAAAATTTCCAGATGTCTACAGTTAACTTTTGCTTTCTTGAATTTAGTTCAGAAACAAGCGGACAAATTGCTACTAAGCTCTGTTTTTTTACTTTTTATGCGGCATATAATGCTTTGAAAATATGAATAGAATTTGCATGTATAATGATAGTGGCATTAGTAGTAAGACAAAGATACGTCATTAAAAACTTTGAAAACTGCCAGCTCATATGTACTTCCTGCAAAGCATTGTGATATTTGTATTTAACATGTTTTTTGCCGCTTTCAGTGAGGAAGTCCGCGAATTTTTTGCACTGGGAGAGACGGAAGATGCAGACGACTCTCATGTTGATCTTGGGCCCAAGGAAATCACAACGTAACCAAATTAATCAAATCTGTAATTCATGAGAAAGCTTACCATTTCTAGAGCATGCGCTGCCGATTTTGACTTCCTCACAACCATTGGGAAAGGCAGCTTCGGTCGTGTATTTCAAGTGGTACATAAGGAAACCGGAAAGATTTACGCCATGAAAGTTCTTTCAAAAGAACATATTAGGAAGAAGAACGAGGTGTGTTGAGAATTTGGAGGATTAATAATTTTTCCACGCGTAATTGCTTACGTTTGCATAGGTAAAAATTATCTATAATTAATACATTTTTTTGATACCGTTGTTTCATCAAAAGTAATATATCCATTCAATGATAAAATGACAATAAGCTTTAGTTGTGTGTTCCACATAAGATCATAAGCTCAAGCAATATCTTTATTAGAATCAGGATGAAATGATTATAAGTTTACAAAAATAGTATTCATAGCTCTAGTTGTTAAATCTGGAAACTCTACTTTTTTCTGAAAATTTTATCACTTATATCAGCGATTGCTGAAGGATTAATAATTCCTGAGTAAAATCATATTTCCCTCATCCATTTTTTAGGTCAAACATGTGATGGCAGAGCTTAGCGTTCTAAAAGCAAACTTCCATCATCCATTCTTGGTATCCTTGCATTTCTCATTCCAAAACAAGGATAAACTCTACTTTGTGCTTGATCACCTTAACGGTGGTGAGGTATGTTAGTAGCGTTACAATAAAAAATAAGACTAAAATTATAATAATTCAGCTATTTT